CCCCCCTCCTCTACACACTAGACACAGGTAAATATTCTAATAGGAGACACCCCCCCCCTCCTCTACACACTAGACACAGGTAAATATTCTAATTTTAATATTTGTTGATAAACTGAACATTTGTCTCTAAGATACTTTTAAGTGACCCTCCATGCAAAGATGGCCCAATTCACAACGGTGCCTTTGAAAGCTTTGTCTGATCAAGGGCGTATACAGTGGGGGGGGGGATGGGGGGTAGTGCCTTCCCCTACACCTGTGAAGGGAAATAGATTTTTTCTGCTAGTTTTGTTTGAAGGAGAGATAATGTAGTACTTACAAGGTAATTGATAATGATAATAATAATAATAATAATAATAATGATATATGTGTTTCCTTTAAAGTATTCTATAATTATTTGAATTTACAGTTCAAATTTTGGGGCAAAAAATATTTTGATTCATTTCTGTGTTTGATCATTTGTGTTTGATCATGATTGAATTAGAGATCATAGTTCAGAAAACTTATTATTTTTAATTCTACAGAAGTGACTTCCACATTTCTACTTCAGAAAACAGATATGAAATCTTTAAATTGAACACTTTTTAATCTAGAAAAACGACAATATCTTCAACATTATAGATCAGATAAAAGTTTTAAAATTGGACCATTTTAGCATGGAGGGTCACTTACTTGAAATTACGCGTACAGTATCTTTAACCTCCAATTTTGTAATTCCATATTTTTGGAACCTAAAGTGTAAATTTGAAAACCGTTAATTTTATCAAACTATGAATTCTATTAGATCAAATAGTTAAAATTTGAAATATGATTTATACCAGCAGGTTACAAACTTGTACGGATTAGATAGTTCTCATTTCATTAGTCAAGATTAAAAATTAACGTTTAAATTAAATTAAAAAATCAATATGTTCTAAATATTTTTGCTGAAAGCTGTCACCAGTGCTTATCCAGTTCATCATGAACATTTCTGTAAGTTTTACTGAGCTTTATCAAAAGACTAATTTTGAAAAAAAAAAAATTTTAAGTCTTATGCGAAAAACCATTCAGAGATATGGACAATTTCAATAATATCTCTTTTTAACAGTCAGATTTGGGTTTTGAGAACAAAACGTTTTTTACAGTTTTTGATATTTTGCACCTTGGATTCGGATCCGTGGATCCGAATATTTTTGCGGATTCGGATCCGGATTCAGGGAGCCAACAAATTTCGTATCATAATCACTGGCTGTCTAGAATTAATTTTCCGAATTTGATGTTCACTTGTCTTTAGAGTTTATCATTAATATCGTTATATTATCAATAATCAATTTGCTATTGATTGAAAAGAATTTTTCATTAAAGAAAATATATAAGTAAACATCTTATTATTATTAATAAATACAATACGCATCATGAAACGTTAAATTATTATTTTACATCAATGGTTAAGATATAGATGATTCTATTTCTATACCTTAGCAAACGAACTGATTAATAGCCTCAAACTCTAATTTTATAATCCTTATATCTTTGAAACCTGATGCCCTAACCCTTTGATATCATGAATATTTTTAGATCAAAGTTTTAAACATCAAAAGTTGCAAAGTTATCGAGATTAGAATATTTGAGTTTGAGGCGATTAATCAGTTCAGGGGGGGTATAATAATTAAAGCTACAAAATGTCCTTGAAATCTGAAGAAAAAAAATGAAAATTCTCATGTTTTATTTAATTATTTTGTTTATTAGGATGATTCTAATGGATGGAGAAATGGATATTATCAATTCTTTAGGTTCAAATCCAATATTTTTCCCGTTTTTCTATCATTTAATTACCCTCAGGAACCATTTTAAAATCAAATGGATGATATGTAGATATCCATTTTTTTTACAAGATCCATTTATCTTTTTTTTTTAAATTACAGTTTGGTTGAAATTTCATTGAAATTTTTTATTCTAATTTTTCTAATTTGCGGCCAAAAATATTTAGACAAATGAATAATAAAAAGGCAACCGAGTACCGATCATTTCACCAAAGAAAGGGAANATTTTGGATTTTGGGGAGGTTAAAGGTTCGTATAGTTGTTAGTGGATATGTTTAATGATGAATAGTTTTATTCCCCGTATATACACACAAACACACACACGGCAGTACGGGCACAAACAGTCAAAACCTCGAAATATAAATATGAGCCGGAATTAACGAAAAGTTGTCCCACAAAAAATTACAATTTAAGATAGGCCTTAAAAATCATTTTTGATCTTTATAGATGGCGCACATTGATTCAACTCAAACTGCTTTGTAAAGTTGCTGCAGGTCGACTTTGAAGTGCCTGAAGTGCCTTGTTCTTTAATTTTAGCTCAATATATACTTGACATGTTAGAATTTTGATACTATGAAGCACATATTTTATGTTTTAGATTTTTAGCGTGAGAACTTGAAACTTTTGGATCACTATCAGCTTTTAATTACAAAAAAAGTGTTTAAAAAATTTCTAACCGATTCAATGCAACCGTGGTCCAGTGAAGAACTGCATAAAAAAAATTTATAAAGACTTTCCACTGATGTCGTCTCTGAAATATCATGTTTATTGGGACACCCTACCCTGTTTTAAATACAAGCCATACAATGGGTATATTAATAGATTATTGCCCAGGGATTCTACGTTTATATTCAGACATTTTAAAAACATTTACGACAGTTTGGAAAAAAAAATAAAAAATTTGATCACAAAGTTCCGGCCAATACTTTCGGAAAGGAACGTCAACAACGGGTAATTTCCCTTGATTTAATGATTTTTTCAAAATGAAAATTTCACATTTTTTCGCATTTCGTTCGCTCGAGTAAAATGCAAAAATATATGCTTTGTTCAGCAAAATTTCGCTTTTAAATGTTTCGCGAAAAAATGCAAAAAATCCGCGATAAAAAACGCAAAAATTTTAGGTTTTCTTATGGTTAACGCGGTGATTTTTTTTGAAATTGTTTTTCGTGCGATTTCGCAAAAACAATTTTCGCGAAAAGTATTTTCGCAAAATTTCGCATCGTTTTTGAATTTGTTCGCATTTTCTCGCTTAACTCATTTATGCGAAAAATTCGAAATTTCGCGTAAAAGTTTGCGAAACACGAACGAAAATTTTCGCATATATTCCCCTTTTTTCAGCAAAAGTTTTCGTTCGCTTGAATTTAAATGAAAGAAATGTAGCTAAAATATTCTAATTTCCAATTATGCAGACAATATGCACTTCGTTGTACAGGTACTGTACTGTCAGCCTTTAATTGAGAAACAATGTGGAATCGTTGTTTTTTTATTTAAAATTCTTCCTTGTCTTTGCTGCATAAATTCGGAAGTCCCTTTGGTAGAGAAACTTCAATTATATTAACATTTAAATAAATTTCATATAAATGGAACTTAAGAGTACGTCGACAGCTCTTAATAAAATTTTAATAATTTTTAAGCACTAGCTCGGGAATCCAGCTATGCCTGGAGTTTTCCTTATAAAACTTGGAACATTCCCGTGGTTATACCGAGTTCACTAATCAAAATTTGAGGCCAATTGATCAAGGGGTCTCGGAGCTCGGATCGGACATGAGAAATAAAGATTACTACTTTATATTAGTAGATGATATTGGATAAATGATCGTCAAGGAGATATGGATCGAGATGGTTCCCTGGATTCACTCTGGCCATGGGACCAAAGCTTTGAGGTAGGCAATAAGCACTTTTAAACATTTGGACAATTTTAAGACAAGAATCTTTAAGAAAGAAACAGATAATGAAAAAAGTAGTAAAAAAAGGACCTAAAAAAATTAAACCAAAAATTAAATACCGTTCAAAATTTTGAACAGAATTTCTTAGAATAAATCGAAGACTAAAATGTTGTGGGTTCTTCAAGCAATTGAAAAGGGACAAAATTGTATCAAAAATATATCAAATTTCAGCAAAAAATGTTAACAAAGTTAATTCCGGAATTATATAAAATTAGATTAAATAGAAAATTATGTTCGAAATGATTAAATAGAGGGCGTTTTTATGCTATTATTATTGCCAACTTACACATTGTGTGGGCATTTTGTTTTATTATGCATGCGCTGAAAACACTGGAAATAATTCATTAATATTAATAATCTTGTACAATTAATGTAATTTAAAAAATCTTAAATTCCAAGAAATATCATTAGCTAAACCTTTTAATTAGATTTTTGAAAATAAAATCTGTAAGTCTATTTATAAAATCTGTAAGTCTATTTGTAAAATCTGTAAGTCTATTTATAAAATCTGCAAGTCTATTTATAAAATCTGTAAGTCTATTTATAAAATCTGTAAGTCTATTTATAAAATCTGTAAGTCTATTTCTAAAATCTGTAAGTCTATTTATAAAATCTGTAAGTCTATTTATAAAATCTGTAAGTCTATTTGTAAAATCTGTAAGTCTATTTATAAAATCTGTAAGTCTATTTATAAAATCTACGTAAGTCTATTTATAAAATGGCGCGAGATTTAAAATCAAAATGTCTCTTTCATATTTCTTAAATAAACAACTTAAGAAAAGCACTTACTTTGAATTATTGAATAAAGTATGTATTATATTCAGATATATATATTTATATGTATATATATATATGCAAATATAGTAAAACATATGTATATATATATAGTAAAATGTATATATAGTTTCTAGTAATTCGACACTTCTTAATATCATTTTCCATTGCATATTATCTTAGCTCTCCGAGATTTGCACAATTCTTTTGCGTCATTTAGTCTTTTTTAGCGTCATATGTTTAGATAATTCAACATTGCTTATCAATAGTCAATACATGGTGGAGCCTTGAATTAAGCAATCCAAATATAAACATCTCCACAGGGTGTTATAAACACCCTTTTCAACAAAAACAAACCGACTATTTTAAAAGTGAAGACTTGTTGCCAATAATTTCTCTCTGATAATTATTAATAATAAATAATTAAAAATTTATAAAGATTCTAAAATTTAGCGTTACTGTTTTTCGTCAACCTGTAAAATTAATGGATATACATCTTTATCATTTACTATATATTAAAAATTATGTTAGTACTTAACATTAATTAACATAAAACCGGATATATCTACGAAATGTAGCTATATATCTCAAAGTAATAATAAAAGCATTAAAAGTAAAATATATGAAATAATTTATATTCAACTTTTGCTGAAAACTTTTAATCGTTTATTTTTGTCTTACTTTAAAGTTTGAATAATTTTGAATATTTTTGCTAAATTTTTTTATTTTAATGTGCTATGCCAATATTTACACTTTTATCGGTTTATTTAACTTTAAAAAAATATTTTTTTTAATATTTAAAGTATTTTTGACCTTGGTGTTACAAGTGTTTCTTTATGCAGCTTGTGTACTCAGGTTTTTTTTTATAAATGCATGAAGTAAGTACTATAAAATATATATATATATATTGTATATAATTTTAAAGGGAGTGTTCACGGAAAATTTACGGATTTAAAGTTTGCGTTTTTACTTAACGTCAAACTGAAGAAATTTCACGTAAGATTGAATTCTTATATGTTATCCATCATAACTCCACTTATTCAAGAGCTATTGAGAAGAACAAAAATGTTTGAATATTTAATACGTATTTTAAAAAAATGGATTTGAAGATAAAATGTTTTACGGCTGTCCTGGGTTTTTTTTTGAAGGTTTCAGGGTTCGATCACGATTTATTTATTCGATTTTTTTTGTGAAATCACGTCAGGTTAAATAAAGTGCAAAATGAAACATGTCAAAATATACGTAACTTTTTAAAAAAAAGTTTAATGCAAATTATCAATTTTAACAGCTATGTAGGATTACATTCGAATATATAAGTCAATTCAGCTGCTTTTCAAATTCATCTTTCAAAATTTAACGCCTCAATCATGATATTTATTTGTTGTTTGAAAAATATGCACGTAAACGTTATAAATTCAGAATTTTTAATGTTTTTGTTAAATACCGGTAAAAACAATGGAAAGTACGTTTCACGCACCCTCAACTAAACTTGCGGTGCGTTTTGCAGTAAATTGCAGTACACTGACCGAAGATATAGTAGCGTTTAGAGGAGAGTGCACGATCTATCTATCTATCTATATATCTATCTATCTATCTATCTATCTATCTATTGATAGAATCGACCAATCCCGCATTATCATATTTTTTCAACAATACTTGTAACATTTGTATATATTTGTAAATACAATAGTATTTTATTTCTATTTTAACCATTCTTGCTGAAAGGAAACCAAAATTTAAAAAAAATTAAATTCAATGCAGTTTTAATTTGAAAATTTGATAATCTGAAAAAAGCGTGTTTAGGCTTTTAAAAAATGTTTTATCGACAAATTCCCCCGTTGGGGGTAATTACCCCCCCCCCTAAAATCCTGGGGTAATAACCTAGCTCTCCTCCCCCCCCACCTAAAATCTTGGGGACATAGATATCCCCGTATAGAAACTTGATCTCCATTCTCCATGTTCATGATTAACCAAAAGAAAAAAATTATNACATATACATATACATATACATATACATATACATATACATATACATATACATATACATATACATATACATATACATATACATATACATATACATATACATATACATATACATATACATATACATATACATATACATATACATATACATATACATATACATATACATATACATATACATATACATATACATATACATATACATATACATATACATATACATATACATATACATATACATATACATATACATATACATATACATATACATATACATATACATATACATATACATATACATATACATATACATATACATATACATATACATATACATATACATATACATATACATATACATATACATATACATATACATATACATATACATATACATATACATATACATATACATATACATATACATATACATATACATATACATATACATATACATATACATATACATATACATATACATATACATATACATATACATATACATATACATATACATATACATATACATATACATATACATATACATATACATATACATATACATATACATATACATATACATATACATATACATATACATATACATATACATATACATATACATATACATATACATATACATATACATATACATATACATATACATATACATATACATATACATATACATATACATATACATATACATATACATATACATATACATATACATATACATATACATATACATATACATATACATATACATATACATATACATATACATATACATATACATATACATATACATATACATATACGTATACATATACATATACATATACATATACATATACATATACATATACATATACACATACATATACATATTTATTTGAGAGACACTCCGATGATAAGTTTACAAACTTGTGTGGGAAAGAGTGGCGCGAATGAGTATATAACATTAATGGGGAATGTAGAATGAGTATATAACATTAATGAGAAATGTAGAATGAGTATATATATAACATGAATGAGGAATGTAGAATGAGTATATAACATTAATGGGGAATGTAAAATGATTATTTATGTAACAATCTAGCCCGTCTCTCCTCACTTAATCTTTAAGGCTAAACTGCCTCAAACTCTACCTATCAGTCAATCCCGACTGTGGTGTGGCTAACTGCCTCAAACTCTAACCGTCAGCCAACCCTGACTGCTGTATGGCTAAACCGCCTCTAACTCTAATAATCAGCCTACCCAGGCTGATTCCGTCTATACTGAACAAAAGTCTGTATTCAACTAATTTATTCATAAACATGATTATACGGGCCGGTCTGACCGGCCAGGTTACAAAACTAAAATATAGAATTATAATACAAAGTATGATAACGCTGTAGGGTAGACAGTTAAAGATACAGCTACTGCAGAATTCATTACATTTAGATTCAGATGTTCCATACAGTTCCTATATTTTCAGGGAATGCTGGTGGAAACGTTTAAAGGATGGCCCCCTCGGCCCCCTCGGTTATATTGTTGTTATGAAAATATATGTTTGATAAGAACACGTTCACAAACTCCTCGTTTCTGTTTACTATTGGATACAGTTGGGATTACATACCCACCCCCCATCGTACGCCTCCCTCCTAATATTCATTATATGTCCCCNAGAGTAAACTTGTCCGTATTCACTGTTCATCTTGCGGAGACATTATAGACACATATTTACAGTCTTTTACCCTTTTCATAAAATAAACTCTAGCCGACATAATAATATTATGGCTTTTGAAATTAGGTAACACAATGCTAATTCATAACAAAGACGATATCGAATTCGTCACTGAATTCCCATGTTTTTTGGGACACCCTGTATGAAAATAAACAACACTTTTCTAAGCTTTCAATTATCAATCTTATTTCGAATTTTAAACAGAATTTAATAGAAGATTTTTATCAGCAGAACAAATGTTTTAATTCTAACACATGCTATTTTTGCTATAGGATCGAAGAAAGCAAAGACAATTTACAAAGAAAAGAAAAAAAAGATTTTAAAAAAAAATCAAACATAAAATCAAACATAAAATCAAACATTAAGGGTGTCAAAAATGGGGGCAAATTAAAAAGACAATGAAAAATGCCCATTTTGCTTAAAACCTATGCCTTTTCCACGACCCATGAAGTGTATTTTTTTTTTTTATTTTAACAATCCAACACTTAATGAGATGTCTAAAAATAAGTTAAATAAGTTAGATAAGTTAAAAAGTTAAATAAGTTAAATATGTTAAATATGTTAAGTAAGTTAAATAAGTTAGATAAGTTAAAAAGTTAAATAAGTTAGATAAGTTAAAAAGTTAAATATGTCAAATAAGTTAAATAAGTTAAATAAGTTAAATATGTTAAATAAGTTAAATAAGTTAAATAAGTTAAAAAGTTAAATAAGTTAAATATGTTAAATATGTTAAATAAGTTAAATAAGTTAGATAAGTTAAAAAGTTAAATAAGTTAAATAAGTTAAATAAGTTAAAAAGTTAAATAAGTTAAATATGTTAAATATGTTAAATAAGTTAAATAACTTAAATGAGTAAAATAAGTTAAATAAGTTAAATAAGTTAAATATATTAAATAAGTTAAATAAGTTAAATAAGTTAAATAAGTTAAATAAGTTAAATAAGTTAAATAAGTTAAATATGTTAAATAACTTAAATAAGTTAAATAAGTTAAATAAGTTAAATAAGTTAAATATGTTAAATAAGTTAAATAAGCTAAATAAGTTAAATAAGTTAAATAAGTTAAATATGTTAAATAAGTGAAATAAGTTAAATAAGTTAAATAAGTTAAATAAGTGAAATAAGTTAAATATTTTAAACAAGTTAAATAAGTTAAATATGTCAAATAAGTTAAATAAGTTTAATATGTTAAATAAGTTAAATATGTTGAATAAGTTAAATAAGTTAAATATGTTAAATAAGGTAAATAAGTTAAATAAGTTAAATAAGTAAAATAAGTAAAATAAGTTAGATAAGTCCAGTATATCCAGTTATAATGTACACATGATACAGTGCAATACAACATATGCATATTCATATTTAATTGTTTACAACAACGTCCTGTACAAGATAATGTTTTAAGAAATTAGAGATTAAAATATATGGAGAATTACCATAATCTATCATGGTTCAAGTTAACTTTGAAAATTTTGAATAATAAGCAGAGCAAAATATCCCATCAAGCAACAATACTTTTACGGATTTTAATTAGAAGAATTTAGTGGAAGTAGGGGGGTCATGCAGACCGCCCCCCTCCCCGCCCGGCCCCTTTAACCACAGAGAATAAAATATATATTAGAGAGGAATTTAAAGAATCTCTCGGTATGAATTTTTGCAGTCCCTTTCAGCCTGAAAGGGAGTTCAAATTGTACAAATCATGTAAATGTTCACAAATTATAGGCAGTAGAGTACATTAATACAGTATGTTCCCTAGACTATTCATTTAAGTTTCGAATTTTTTAAACTGTTAAATAAACTTTAAAATGAATCAGGCGAATTAAAAACATCATTTGATTTATAGTTATAACGGAAAATCATCGTTTGTAAAGTGAAAAGCATAGAGTCTATGTGAAATGATCATTAGTCAATTATTTGGTTTTCTTTTAACATTAATTTTAGATTTTCTATAAAATGATATTACAGGGCCCAACAGGTTATATACATATGTGAAGTATACCTGCAGTATGGAAACACAACAAAATGACCGTTTTACACTTTTTTTTTCGCAAATTCCCCTCTAATATATATTCTATTCTCTTTGCCTTTAACTCGTGATACTTCCCATCATTATCCCTACCCCCCCCCCCCCGGTCATATGTAGAGTACTTCTGTAACCGTATAAATGGAACCCCTGCTAAGCAATCCTTTTCCTTTTCCGGTGCTCAGGGGAGAAAGGGGGTCGTGAAGGGAGAAAGAGGGTTGTTAATGAAGAAAGGGGATCTTGAAGGGAAAAAGGTGGTCGTGAAAGGAGAAATGGGGTCGTGAAGGGAGAAAAGGGGTCGTGAAGGGAGAAAGAGGATCGTGAAGGGAGAAAAGGGGTCGTGAAGGGAGAAAAGGGGCCGTGAAGGGAGAAAGAGGATCGTGAAAGGAGAAAGGGGATTGTGAAGGAACAAAGGGGGTCGTGAAGGAACAAAGGGGATCGTGAAGGAACCAAGGGGATCGTGAAGGAACAAAGTGGATCATGAAGGGAAGAAGGGGATCGTGAAGGAAGGTAGGGGGTTGTGGCAGAAAGGAAGGGTGTTTTGAAGGAAGGAAGGGGGTGGTAAAGGGAGCAAAGGGGAAGTGAAGGGAGGAGGGGGGTTGTGAAGGAAGGACGGGAGTTGCGAAGGAAGGAAGGGTGTTTCTGTATCTACAGAGCGTCCTATTATATCATATTAGATTATCTCCAAGCTTTAACGCCAAAATACGCACATGATACTCGTAAAAACCGAGTATTTTCTGCAAGAAAACTTTTATAAAAACCTTCTATATTTTTAAAAAATGATTCATTGTTTTTAAAGTTTCTGATTAGTCCCTAAAATCACAATTTTGAGATAACGATCTAATATGATGTGGGACACCCTGTACATAATCTAATTGCTAATATACATGATAAAGAAATTGATTATAAAACCGAATAAAAGATTAGAAAGTTCTACTTCCTGTATTTATTTGCTCCTCCTTTAATTATGAAGGTGTACCAATAGTACACCAATAAAAGAACATGATTAAAGGGACTGTATACGTAATTTCAAGTGTCAGATTTGTAACGGTACCCATAAAGCTTCGTCAGATCAAGTATCAATTTGATATCCACGTTTTTTTTAAGTGATTTTAATTCATTTGTAATTTCGCTTCAAATGAACTTGTGCATTTCTTGCTTCAGAAACAATGGAGAAATTATCAAAAGTAACACTTTTCAAACTAAAAAACGACGTTATCTTCCCCACACTTTTGGTTAGATTCAGGGGGTTAAAGGTTATACCGTTGTGGTGAATCTGACACGCCCCTCTGTAAATAGAGCCGGACACTTAAAGTTACAAATTACAACGACAGTACAGTCCCTTTAGATGAAAAATAGAAATTGTAAATGAAATTGAAAATTAATTTTTTTCGCAATCAGATCTTTTAGTCATTTAAATTTAAATCTTTTTCCCGAATTAATAAAAGCTGGATTTATAATAATAATACAGAACGAAGCATAACGCGCGCATACGCATTTAAAAAACTATTTAAAAAAAATACCTCCAAACTCTATGGCCCGGTTATTATTTGCCCTCGGAAAAAAACTTGTTCCTAAAATTTAGAATTTATTTAAATCCTCGAAAACCTTCAGGTTATTTAACTCTTAACAATACTAACAGCTGACACCCAGTCGGGATTAAACAACAGCTTCCTAACATCTGATATGCGCAGCTGTTTTGGGAAGTTGCCGCAACAGCTAGGTTTTACAGAATAAATTAAAAAATTTATGAAAGAGATATTTTTTTTAACAAATTAAACTTTTAAAAAAGTATTTCATTTTAAAAAGAGTATTAATCCCTGTAATGCTCCGGCCGGTATACTTGGTATCATTGTGTACTTTTACTTTAAATGTCAAATATATCTTATACTTTCCCTTTAAACATTTTCTTTTATCCAGCTTCCAATGGTTTAATTAGGGCTGGGTTTAAAGAAAAGTTGATAAACCATCTTTAAATAGTATTAAAAGCTCCCCTAAGGAAAACCAGGTTTGATAAAGGCATGTTAGTTTCGTCAGTAGGATACGAACCGTGAAAGAGAAAACATATCTTAGCGCTCCGTGTACAGAACATGTAAACAGTAGTACAGTTCGCCAGTACACGAGGAACTATGTACGGAAGAAAGTTTGGTGAATTATTCGACGATGATTATGTATGGGAGGGGGCCCTGGTAAGTGCTAATTAAATTCCGTAAGCAGGAATTTAAAATGCCGGTCTACCTGTTAGTATACCCCCCCCATTCCCCCTTCCTTCGCCCTTCTCCCCTCTTTTTGTCTTAATCCGCGAACTAATTCAAAGATTTTTAAAATGTCTTTTTTCAACTCACTGCGAACCAGGATGTGGACGCTCTCAAAGAAAAATCAAACAGTATTTTGCAAGAAACTCCTTTTAAACTTAAGCTACAAAATATACTACAAAAAAGTACAAGTTAGCTAGTGAGGTAAAGTCGAGGCTGTCTGTCCCTTTTAAGGATCAATTGACTTTCAGAGTTGTCCATCTCTTGGTGAACAGGAACTCCCCGTCCATTTTCTATACCCCTTATCCCACGCACCTCTGCCCCTTTAGTAAAAGTAAATCCAACCTATATGAAGCATAAAGTCTGACCGCGTCAACCTTGTTGCACGAGGTAGCCCTGTCCATAGAGCTAGGTACAGTACAAACTATGATCGGAAAGGTTGACCCGGCTCGGAAATTCAAATGTACTACGGCTGCCCGTGATCCATTTCCCCCTTCCAATTGTTAGGCTTTTGATATAAATTTTATACATATATTTAAAAATAATGTACAAATTTTTTATCATGAAAAATAATTTCTGTAATATCTGAATATTTTGATTGTCATGTCTTCCAAAAGATAAGGTTTCAGTAAGCATGTTTGTATAATTCACCTAAATCGAAAATATTTCAAATATTAAATGTGTCTGTTATCTCTTCTTATACATCTGCAGAAACCTGTTTGCCGGCGAATCTGAAATTAAAGGGACTGGGTCCATAAAATCTGGAATTAAAGGGACTGGGTCCATAAAATCTGAAGTTTAAGAGACTGTTAACGTAATTTTAAGGAACCCTGAGTTTAAATATTGAAGACATTTTTTCCAATCTGAAAATCTCTGATTTCTTGGTTTCTTAAAAGGAAAAAAAGATTACAGTCCTTTTGGTGTTTATCATTGATTGTAAAATGATAAAATCCCCCGTTGCGACCCTGGTTGTAAAAAGATTACAGTCCTTTTGATGTTTATCATTGATTGTAAAATGATAAAATCCCCCGTTGCGACCCTGGTTGTAAAAAAAACTTTTATTTCCGTTGAAAGCATAAACTTAATATTAAGTCTTTTAATGATGAGTTTAATCGACGATATAATTTTTAAAATAAAAATAAAGATTTCTCAATCAGTATCTTCGGAATCATTGACATCTATGTAAATGAAAGTTGCCATAAGATTTCATTTTGAATTGACTCCAACAATCCTTTGTTTATTGAAACCATACTGATGGGATATTTTAATTATTTTCAGCAAAAGTCAATTGTGAATAATTAAAGAGATGTTTCAAATCTATATTTCCAATGCCAAACCTAGGATTGATAACTTTTACTTTTTGCAGAAAAAAAAAACGGCCAGAATTTATTCAATTGTGAAAAAGCCTTGAAAATATCTTGTTTAAAGTTTTGAAAATTAATTTTATTAATCGATTCTGAATGAAAGGGCACCTTAGATTGTTCAAGTTTTATTTTATTGTTAAAATGTTAACAATTGAGAATACTTAAAAATAAAAATATTTAAACTAAGAACGACAAAGTAGGATTCAGAAACTTATTTTTCTTCTAGAATATAAATAAACAGTGTCATTTTAATTTTAGATTTGTAAACACTTCATTAAGAGAGTGGTTTATAAAAAGGNCTCAGTTCTAACGGACACACAGTCCGGTAGGTAGGCATGGTAGCGGTGAATATATGCTTGGTCAGCTTTGAATGTTTAAAACACACACAACTAGAAGATAAGGTTTCTCTACACACATCTATGCAGGCGGAGCTACATTGTTTGAATTTATATTACTATCTAAAAATTGTCAACAACTTAAACGAAGTATGTATTTAGAAGTTTTTGTTAAATGTTGCTTAAACATCAACAATAAGAATTAAAAAAGCGGATTTATAGTTAAAGTAAAATCTCCCCCCCCTCTTTGGATCCTCCTCCAACCATCTTACCCTCCTTTTGGTCATTCTCGTATTCCATGTGCTTAATGACTGAACTAAATGAATTTGCAGATTTCCTTCGTTCTAGTTTCTAAGTTTCTAGGATCGTAATCCTGGGTTTAAGATTCTAGTTTCTAGTTTTAAGATTCTAGGTTATAGGTTTAAGATTCTAGGTTCTAGGTTTTAGAGTCTATGTTTTAGGTTAAAATTCTTGGTTTTAGGTTTGAAAGTCTAGTTTCTAGGTTCTAAGCTTTAGGTTCTATGTTTAAGGTTCTATGTTCTAGGTTTATGGTTCTAGTTTCTAGGTTTGAAATTCTAGTTTCTAGTTTTAGGTTCTAGTTTCTAGGTTTTAAGTTCTAATTTATAGAATTAAGATTCTTGGTTTAAGATTCTTAATTCTAGATTTAAGATTCTAGTTTCTAGATTTAACATTCTAGTTCTAGATTTAAGACTCTAGTTTCTAGCTTTAATATTCTAGCTTCTGAGTTTAAGATTCTATTTTCTAAGTTTAAGATTCTAATTTCTAAGTTTAAGATTCTAGTTCTAGATTTAAGATTCTAGTTTCTAAGATTTCCTATTTTTTGTTTGTTCTGCAGTAGTATAGAAACTCTTTTTTATAATTTTTCGTGATGGATATTTCTTTCCTAGATAATATATTCTACATATAATTTTCTAGATAATCTATTATTTTCTAGATAATATATTTTAGATATTATTTTCTAGATAATATATTTTAGATATTATTTTCTAGATAATATATTTTAGATATTATTTTCTAATTTAAGGAGCAGCATGATGTGTTGGATTTAATTAACTTGAAAACATCACTTAAACTAAATCTATTC